GCTGCCGATGGGTGCAGGCCCCAGGCTGCTGTGGCCCCCTCCCTTCCCCTCCTCTATGCTACCAGTGAGGCCGTTCGATAGCAGCCTGGCTGCTAATGGCTTCGTGATGGAGCTTTGCAGGCGTGGGCCCCACCACAGCGTCACTCTGGGTCCGAGTCCTGGCACAGGAACGGGGGCATAAGCCAGTGCTGGTCTGTGCTGGTGGCACAGGCTCTGGGCCCTGCACCAGGACCTGTCTCCTCGGGTCATGCTGCCCGGTGCCAGTGTGGGGGTCCAGAGATGCCGCCCCCCCCTATGCAGGGCTCTGTCCCTGCCCTCCCCTGGGCTCGGAGCTGGAGGATGGAAGGAGAGCAGAGGTCAGGGAGTGGAGGAGCAGCGTGAAGCAGCTCTTCACACATTTGGATGAGCTAATGGGAAAAAGCAGAGGAAGGCAAATAAACATTATTGTTTCATGTCAGGCAGGGAGGAGACAAAAGGTCACGGGCTTCCCTTGTGATGGTAGGAAATGGCAGCATCAGCAGGGCTGGAAAGGGCTGGAGAGCCCATGGGAGCATGGGCACGTGTGAGCTCACACACGTGTGCAGATCCATCTGTGGGTCCCAGCACTGCAGGTGGGGCATCCCAGCGTGTGGCCCCCCACTCGTTTCAACCTCGTCCCCCACCCCACAGCCCATGGCTCTCCCTGCCATGTGGACACGGCTTGAGGAGCTGCCCTGGGACTGGCAGGCCTGGGATACACACACCTTGGACACCAGCTGGAAAAGCAGGAGCCTGTTACCCGGAGCTTGGGAGAGCCGGTGAAGTGAGGGGGGAGGAAGGTCTTGCTTGGGGTTTCCTTCCTGGGCTTGTGGTTCCTGAGGGGCTCATTTGCCCTGGGTTGGGTGGCCCTGGGGTGGCCTTTCCACCCCTCCCCAGCACTTGGGATGGCTCCAGATGTACCACTGGTGCAGCTGAACCCTTCAGAGAGGCTTGGCCCTGGGGTGCCAAGCCCCAGGCAGTTGTGTTCCCAGCCCCGGGGGGCCCCTCCACCCATGCTGTGCATCCCCCTCCCCGGGCTCCTGGTTGCCGTGGCGCCGTTGCCATGGTGCTGTTGCTGTGGTGCTGTTGCCAGGGTACCGCCTCTCGGAGCCATCCATCACTGGGCTGGGGGCTGGGGGCCGGGGGCCCCATCAGGACCCCCGGGAACAGGGCACAGTGGGACCAAGGCTGGCTGGGGGCATGGATCCCCTCTGCCGTGTTACCCTGTTCCCACTGGCAGGGACCTGGCTCCAGGGTTTTCTTTGCTCTGCCTCCCTCTCAACAAGGTCTGGCAGCAGTGGATGAGCCCCCTGGGGGGTTGCTGGGCTCTTCAGCAGGGCTGGGGTGCACAGGCTGCAGAGGCAGAGGGTGCAGCGACGGGCATCCAGTGGTTTTGTCTCTCTCTGGGCCAGGAAGATTCCTGGCGTTGAACCCGAGAATGTGGAGACTGTATCAAATAATGGAAAATAAAAGGGATGGAGGAGGAAGGAAAAGCAGAACAGAACGTTTCAGGAATGCTGTAAAAGTTTGGATCCACGGAATGGGGCAAGATCCAGGAGAGAAACAGGCCCTGGCCCAAAGACCTTTTGAGTCTGGAGTGCCAAGAGCTGGACTTGGCGGGGGGGAACCCATGGCCTGGGGCAGCCCCAGCCCTGACTCTGGGGTGCCAGCCTGGCCCCGTGGCTGCTCCAGCCCTGATTGGGTTTGTAATGATTGAATTCCCGGCTGGAGCCTGGCTGCAGGCTGCCAGGCAGGACACCCGGGTGGTGGGTGTGCGCCTGCGCCTGCAAAACAGCCACAGCCTCACCGCAAAAATAACGGCTGCAAACACGGCACCTTCCCGGTGTGTTATCCTGGCTGGGATTTTGCAGGTCTCTGGGACCCGGGGTGAGGGGAGGCCGGCGATGCGGAGCAGCTTGCAGATAATCGCTGCTGTGGAGTGGGAGGGGGTGGGGGTCCCATTGCCCCTGCACAGCCCATTCAGTTTGCTGCAGACCCCAGCTCCTGCTGTCATCTCCCCCGGGGCTCCTGCCAGGGCACAAGAGTGTGCGAGGACACACGTGCTGGCATGTGCAGACAGAGTCAGCCCCAGTCCATGGCACCAGGAGGTGCCATGGTGGAGAGCAGCAGCCCCTGCCCACCCTTGTGTGTAAAACTATCTTTGGAAAAAGCTCTTAATGATCTCCTGCCCCTGCTGCCCCCAGCCCGGAGCCACCAGCCGGCGTCCTTTGGGAGCAGGGGACAGAGGCCAGGGCTCAGCTCCATTCATTGGTGCCACATGAAGTCGGGGGTGACCTGGGGTGGCAGGTCCATGGCAGCGAGACCAGGGTGGGACTGGGCTTCTGGCACTTATCTTGGCTAACAGCTTTTCCTGTTGTGCCGGGGACATGGCAGTGCCCACCCGTCCCTGTCCCCCCATCCCTCTCTGTCCCCCCATCCCTCTATGTCCCATTGCCCCAAGCCACCCTGCATGGGCTGGGGCTGCTGGGGGATTTAACTGTGCCTTCAAAGCCTTCTGGCCCGGGTGTCCCCCTGCCCAGGGCAGCAGCGCTGGCAGCTCCGGGTGTGAGGGAGCAGCTGGAGGAAGCACTTGGCTGTGGGACTGGAGCCTAGAGCGGTGTCTCCACGCCAGAATCCCCTGCTGTCCCCTCGCAGGCTCTGCTGTCCCTTGCTCTGGGAGCAAGTGGCACTGATCCAATGCCTGACGACACCTCTGCGCCTCCCACCCCAATTACTGTCACAGCGAGGCACTTCGTTAGAGCTGTTTGGCAAGCAGCACAACCACAGCAGTTCGGGTTGTGGAGACTGGTGCTGGGACTGGGAGCACGAACCCCATCTGGGGCAGAAATGTGTGTGTCTGTGCATGCCCATGTGTCTGTGCACGTGTGTGTGCGTGTGCTTGCGTAAAGCCTGGAAAGGTCACTGTTTGGGAAAGGTGTCGGCAGCCAAGGAACGGGCTTGGAATGGAAAGTGTGAGCCAGGTCAAACCACAGGGGTGGCCAGAATTGTCCCACTCCAGGCCCTCTGTGGTCACCAGTTCCATCTGTGCCAGGAGGAGTATGCCCAGCCATAGCAGGTCACCCCTGGGCTGGGCATGAAGCCTATCCCAGGGCACTCAGGGGCTGGGGCATCCCTGGAGGAGCTCTGCAGGTGGGGGCACCCAGCTCTGGGACAGCAAGGGGCAGGGGGGAAAGCAGCTGGCAGGAGGGAAGTGTCTGTGCACGGTGTCCAGTTCCATGCTGGTGGCACCATGTCCCTGCTCAGCTGCAGCTTGTGCCTCTTCCAGCAGCATCCAGACTCCTTACACCTCTCCCCTCTCTCTGGCAGGGCTGTGGAGGCCAGCACCCTTCAGCAGGAGCGGCTGCAGGCCATCGCGGTGAGTCCCTTCCACAGGCTGAACCTGGAGCCACATTCCCATGTCCCCACATCTCCATGTCCCCATGTCCCTGTGCCATCATCCACAGCATGGTGCACCAGTGCAGGGGGCTTTGGCTCACGGAGCAGCTCCAGGGCTGCAGGCAGGGGCAGGATCCCCAGCCCTGGGCAGGGTGACCAGCAGCTGGACAAGGACCCTGAGAGCTGTGCCAGGACATCCTGCCCCATGGCAGCTCTTCCCGGGGACGTGCCATGGGCAGGGTGCAGGACCTGGCAGGGCTTGGCTGCGTTGCTGAAAACAGGGGCAGAGCTGGGAGGTTTAATTAATGAAGCAGTGGCTTGATGAGCCCCAAGTGAGAGGGAAATGAGTGATGATTCCCCCCTCTCTTTTCCCATGGAAAGGGATGGTGCAGGATCCATCCCTGCTTGCTATGGGCACTAGTAATTATATTAATTAGCGAGCAGGGGGGGCTGTGTGGGACAGCCCCCCTGGTGCAGAGCGGGGTGTGGGGCTGGTTTTAAACCCTGGAGCAGCTCCTGCTGCCGCTGATCGTTGCTGCACAAAGGGGAAATTGTTCTGGGGCAGGAGAAGGGAGCGGGTGACGCTGCCCAGGCTGGGCCTGAGCTGCTGAACTGACCTGGAGCAGCCCCAGGACCTGCGTTTGGGGGGGCTGGGGAGCAGCCGGGGGGGCTGGTTCCCCCGTGCTGGCAGCTGCTCAGCGGGGCCAGCCCAGGGGAAGGTGACACTGTGGAGAACGGTCACACCCTCTGTACCTCAGTTTCCCCAGTGAGGGCAGGGACATGACGTGGGACTGTGGAGCTCCCAGTGGGGCTGTCCCCAAGGCCACTGTCACAGACGGGCACAGCTCGTGTCTGTGGCCCCGTGGGAGCCTCCAGTCCCTGCTCCCCCCACTCAGAGGATATTGTCCTGGGTGGGAGGGAGGTGGCCCCACCACGACAGTCCCCAGCACTGACCCCCTCCCCATGCCAACCCCAGCTCTGCTGCTCTTGTCCCTTCAGGAGAAGCGGAAACGTCAGACAGAGATTGAGAACAAAAGGCGGCAGCTTGAGGATGACAGGCGGCAGCTCCAGCACCTCAAGGTGAGGGTCCCCTGGGACCCCTGGGCTGCCCTTGCTCCAGGGACCTCCTGGCTGCATGTCCTGGCAGGACTTGACCTCCCTCTGCCCCCCAGTCCAAGGCGCTGCGGGAGAGATGGCTGCTGGAGGGAGCCCCAGCCTCCGGCTCTGAGGAGGATGAGGCCATGAAGAAGCAGATGCAGGAGGATGAGTTGAAGACCAAGGAGTTGGAGGAAACCATCCAGAGGTAACGGGGACATGTGGGGCTGGGGTGTATTTGAAGGGCGCCTGAGTGTCCCCAGAGACCCCTGAGCAGATGGGAGCTGGGGAGGAGATGCTTCAGTTCCTGGCCAGCTCCCTTGTGCTAGGGCTGCCAAAGGCAAAGGGAGGGGAACTGGGGGCACCATGGAGGTGTCCCAGCAGCCTGGCCAGCAAGAATGCCATCAGTCATGGCTGTGCCGGTAATTGCCGAGCGCTGGAGCAGAGAGGGGTCAGGCACGAAGGGGCCTTTGTGTGGCTCTAATGGCGCGGTGCATTCCTGTGCTGGCGCCTGGCGGGGGGCAGCGAGGGGGGCTCTGCCGGGCAGAGCCGACCGGGGCCACCACTGACACCAGCATGGGCCCGTGGGACACACAGGAGCAGAGCGGTGATGGCTCAGTGTCCCTCCGTGCCACCAAGCCAGGGCACTGGCCAGTGCGTGGTGGGCCCAAGAGTCACTGCATGGGGACAGCAAAAGCTGGGGTGTCACCCCATGGGGTTGTTCCCAATGTGCACAGGGGGCCAAGGTCTGTCTGTCTGTCCCTGCATCTCACCAGCCTTGGGGCTGACTGGGGCCTCCTCTTGCCCCTGTGCTGTGTCACTGGCCCAAGGCTGCCTGCCCCTGTCTGCCCCTGCCTGCAGCACA